GTTTGGAAAGGCAGACTTCTGTTGCTCAGGGCCTCAGCTGATTGTCCTCCACCCCACACTCTGGAGCGAGTGTCTGATTAGAAGTCACAGCTGCTGGCCTGGCTGATGTGGCTCAGTGGACCGAGTGCTGGTTTACTAAACCAAAGGATTGTTAGTTCAGTTCCCGATCAGGGCACATCCCTGGGTTGTGGGCCAGATCCCCAGTTGGGGTCATGCGAGAGGCGTGTATCTCTTGCACATTGATATTTCTCAAGTCTCTTTCTCCCTTCCTTCCCTTCTAAAAATAAATTAAAAAAAAACTTTTTTAAAGTCACAGCTGCTTTGCTCATTATTTCTGATGAATAGCACCTGGCATCTGCAGGTGATGGTGACTGCCCAGGACCCAAGTGTGACCTACACAGCCAACAAAGGTGCGATGGCTTTGCAGCACCGAAGAGTGAAGCTGTCTCCCCTAAAAGTATCATCTTATGTAAGTCCTGGCCCCATGGAACACATTTTGAATGGGCTCTTCCTTGCTAGTTCCCTTGCCACAACTCCAAAATAATGTGCACTCAGTGAATTCATCCAAGAAGTTCATTTTTACACCAAACAACCACACCTGACCTGTAACCCCCACCCCCAGATAGTGTTCCAGTTACAAATTAATACTCTAACACCCTGGTTTGGGATCTTGATTTGCTCAAGAGAAAGGATCAATTTATAATGTATGGACAAGCCAGGCTTCTTAGCCTAAAGGCTGAGGGTGAGAGGCCTCTTGGGAGACACAATTTTATCTTTCTGGTGGTAACCAACCTTCCTCTGAAAACTTCCACTAGCCCCTAGGAGCTGTTTAGAATCCATCACTAGAGGATCTGCAGGCAAGATGGAGGCATGGGTAGATACACTTTGCCTCCTCATTTAACCAAAAGGACAACAAATTTAAAAATAAAAAATAACCAGAACTGCCAGAAAATCAAACTGTATGGAAGTCTAACAATCAAGGAGTTAAAGAAGAAACATTCATTCAGACTGGTAGGAGGGGTGGAGATGGGCAGCTTGTGTGGAGAGGATGCTTAGCAAGGTGGTGGCTGGAAGACCAGGCAAGTAAGGCGGCAGCTGGTGGACCAGGTGGTCCCACATGTGCGTGCACGTAACTGGGAGGAACAACTGGGGAGTGAGACAGACTGTGCAACCCAGGGTTCCAGTGCCGGGAAATAAAGCTCCAAAACCCCTGGTGGTAAAAACCTGTGGGGGTTGTGGCAGCAGGATAAACTCCCAGCCTCACAGGAGAGTTCATTGGAGAGACCCACAGGGTCCTAGAATGTACACAAAACCACCCACCCTGAATCAATACCAGAAGCCCAATTTGCTTGTGGGTAGTTGGGGAAAGCAACTGAAAACCGGCTGAGAGCTCAGCAAGCAGCAGCATTCCCTCTCTGACCCCTCCCCCACATATTCAAAGTCATGACAGCCAAGGACCTGCATCCCAGATTGCTCTATCCAGCAAAGCTATCATTTAGAATGGGAGGGCAGATATAGTGCTTCCTAGATGAGGTCAAGTTAAAGGAGCTCATCATCACCAAGCCCTTATTATATGAAATGTTAAAGGGACTTATCTAAGAAAAAGAAGATGATCTAAAATATGAACAGTAAAAGGACAAAAAACTCACAACTATCAACAACTGAACCTAAAAACAAAAACAAACAAACTAAGCAAACAACTAGAACAGGAACAAATTCACAGAAAAGGAGATCCCATGGAGGATTATCAGTGGGGAGGGGAAGGGAGAATGGGGAAAAAGGTACGGAGAATAAGAAACATAAATGGTCAGTACAAATAGACAGAGGGAGGTTAAGAATATTATAGAAAATAGAGAAACCAAGGAACTTGTACGCACGACCCATGGACATGAACTAAGCTGGGGGAATGTGGGTGGGAGGGTGGGTATAGGGCAGAGGGGAATAAAGGGAAGGAAAATAGGACAACTACAATAGCATAATCAATAAAATATATTAAAAAAAGAATCCATAACTAAAAATACCTGATAAATCTAATACCAGTGAGGAAAAACTATGAAAGACTTCAAAATGGGCAAAAAGACTGCTGAGTGTTCTCCAGCACCCTTTCATGTTATCTGATTCTGTAAGTTCGGGCCTTGCTGTGGCCTCTGTGGGTCGGCTGGCTGGAATGTCCTCCCATAACCACAAATTTGTGGCTTCAATTCCCGGTTAGGGCACACATCTAGGTTGCAGTACCGTCTGGGTGGGTCTGGGCAGGTCTGGGAGGCAGCCAATCAATGTTTTTCTCTCCCTTTCCCTCTAAAAGCAATGAAAAAATGTCCTCAGGTGAGGATTAGAAAAATTTTTTTAAGACTTTAATTTAGACAGAGGGAAAGGGAGAGAGAAAGGGAGAGAAACATCAATGTGTGGTTGCCTCTCACACACCCCTCACTGGGGACCTGGCCAGCAACCCACACATGTGCCCTGACTGGGAATTGAACCAGTGACACTTCGGTTCACAGGCTAGTGCTCAATCCACTGAGCCACACCAGCCAAGGCTAAAAAAAAAATTTTTTAAAGAGTTTGACCTTTCCTAGTCTGTCTAAGGTATTTTACAATTCTGTAAATTGTAGAAAAATCAATAGTAATGTGAACACTCGTACATAATCTTGTCTTTAGAGGTGCAATTGATTTCTGCCCATGGAAGAAGCCATTTGCGCGTCTATCAAATTCATTCCTACATTTCTGATTAGTTACGTGAGTCGGTTATTTGTATTTTCTTTTGAACCAGTTTTTCACACCTTAGTTTCCCCTCAATGAATGAGTTAAGAACTTTGACAGTTTCATTTTGTATTTGTATGATGATTTTACTTTTTTCCCCTATTGTCCTTCTAACATACCTCATCTCCTTTTTCCTGGCTGCAAAGGCAAAGTTTTAAACCCACACTAAAAGTGTTGATTCAGAGTGTCACAGGATATAACAGGAAGCTACACGGGAAGAGGCTGTAAGCCCTGGAAATCAAGACGCGGTCAGTCCTCTGCCATCTCCCTCCCTTTCCCAGCCAAGCTCCACCTTGAGGGGGAAGGCAGGACCCTCTGACATTACTGCTGGAGGTTGCCTCTTGAGCCAGCTTTGGGCTGAGCTGAGGCCCATCTGGAACTGGCTGGGGCAAATTTTCAGGGTCGATTGCTAGTCATAGTTCCTCTCCACACCAGTCACAGCCACTTCCCCTTTCTGCCGAGGACAGCAGAGTTGAATGAGATGAGTTCCCAGGGTGTTGCAACATCCAGGAACATGAGGGCAAGTAACAGATGGGTGTTTGGGCAGCGATGTCCCCAGGATACTCAGAGTAGCCTTTGCTAATAGAACAGTTTCAACTGAATACATGCTGGACACCAAGTATCACATTAATCTTCACAACCACCCCGCAGTGGAGGACTTCCTCATTTGAAACAGGATGTTGCCAAGCAGGAGTAAACGGGCTTGGACAGAGGTAGGCTGAGTGGCTGTGAGACTAGGCACCTGGCCCCAAGAGTCCTGCTGCAGGAGCCAGGGCCCCACCGTGTTCCCTACCCACCCAACCTCCAGACATTCCCATCCTACAGTTCGGTGACCCGCCCACTGAGCCCTCAGTGGTAGGGAGACAGGCTTTTTCTCAGCCTCCAGGCCATACACTCTGCTGCCCCAGCTGATTTTCCTAACAGGGATGATCCATCCATGGCACTCAAGCCTTCAGTGCAGTGGTGTCAGACTCATTTTCACTGGGGGCCATATCGGCCTCGAGGTTGCTTTCAAAAAGCGGAATGTAACTTTAGGACTGTGTAAATGTAACTACTCAACTAGGGCCAAGGAGCTCGGCGCTGCCGTCTGGTAGAAACAAGGTAGAGGGCTGAATTCGGCCCACAGGCCTTGTGTTTGCCACCTGTTCTTTAGTGGCTTTTTACCAGCCCTACGCCCTCTCTACTCCCCCATCCTTACTGGACATCGAGGCCCTCCACTGCTCCAGGGCACGGGTTCTCCTTGTTCTCTCCTCCCTCCACACCCATCTTCCCCATTCTGCTAGTTCTTTGAGGATTTGGCTCCAGATCACTGACACCAGGAAGCCCACTCTTCCTACCCCTAGTCTTCCACTCCCTCACACAGCACACCATTACCTACTTGGGGGATGTGATTCTTCCCTGAAGCAAATCCCCTGACCCTGTGCAATTTGACACATACCTGAGTCACCTGGGGATTTTGTTAGGGTGCAGATTTGTAGGTCTAGGGTGAGACCTAAGGCTCTGCCCTTCCCACAAGTTCCTAGGCGATGCCAATGGTGTTCGCAGGGCACGCTTGGAGGGGCAAGGACCTGGGTTGAGGGCCTTCCTGTACTTCTCAGACCTAGCATCACAAGACCCTGCTCTGAATGTGCTTTAGACATCTGCCTCTATGCCCATGTTAACACAGCTGAGCCCCTGATCTCAATCAGACCCAAGGCCATAGAAACAGCCATAAGATGCATTTATGGGCTCTAATCAGTTTGTTTAACCGCCCTAGCCAGCAGGTACCAGCCTGTTTTGCTTCCGAGGACCCCAGGACTTGGAACAGGTAACTAGCAAAGCTAGGATTCTGTAGGGAAGGCAACCTTCACCCAATGAGAATGAGTCAGGTTTGGGATGAGGTTGGAGCTAGCTGAGGGCCATCCCACTCTGAGGGGCATCACAGCCCTCAGCAGAGGAAGCCTGATTCTGATCCCTCACCCTGGAGAGGAGCCACAAGCTCCCTGGGCACCATACCCTTGCTGGGACCTGCCAGGGGCTGAGGGAGGAAGGCAGCCTATGTGGGGAGAATGAAATGAAGGTGTGAGGGGCAGAGAAGCCTTCACAAACCAGCCTGGCCTTTCACTATGTAGACAGGCAGACTCATGAGAGGCACAACAGTACTTAGATTGTGCGATGTGAACCCGAGGCACTGTTTACAGTCTGTCCCCTCCCCTACAGTCACAGCACTACACCCAGAGGCTACTTTTTATTTAGGAAGCACACAGGTCACATCACAGGGTGGAAAGCAGCCTGACGCCACCTGGCCAGACCCAGGACAACAGTGGCCAGAGTCAGGGACGCCAGCACTGCCAGGCCTAACCCCAGCATCACAGAGGTGAGAGAAGAGGGCGAACTCTCCACGCCATGGTTACCAGTCTTTCCCAGGAAGATCAGTGGCCCCACCGTGACGTCTGCCTCTTCTGTCACTGGAAGAGAAGATATCCAAGGTTCACTTAGTCCCCCCCCAGGAATCGGTCAGGGGTTTTACTCTGCCTCAGTGGGCTGAACTACATTTTCAGTGAGAAAGCTCAAAACTGCATCCCCCAGGGGTAAGCAGCCTTAGATGGGGGACAAAGGAGAAGAATGTCACCCTGAGGTGACAGCAGGTATCCTAGACCGAGGGGAGGGCAACAGCCCTGTAACCAACCTAAGACCTACCGTGTCTGCGACTGCGGGAAGCAGGCTTGTGCCACTGTCCCACTAGCCTCCTGGAACGGGCTGAAATGCCACAGTTACCCTCCGCACAGCACTGGCAGACCTCAGCAGCGCCCTCTACCGGGACCCAGCTGGGAGGGAAAGATGAGAGGGTTAGGCGGCTGCTCCGTCTGCAGGAAGCAGTTTGCTGATAACATTCGAGTTGGGGAATGGACGCAGGGGTGGCTGCTTAGGGTTCTGCCCCAGCCCTGTCCAATCCTATCTCACCTGTTGGTGGACTTGCTGAAGGAACAGGCTTTGTTGAGTTGGTCTGGGGCTTGGTCAGCCGAAGTGACCTTCAGATGGCAGGTGATATATACCTAGAAGTAAAAGCAGCTATTACTGGGTGTTCTAAGCTGCGTGAGTGACTTTAAGTCAGTTCTTATACAGCCCTTAACACTTGGGGGTGGGGGAAGAGCCTGGTGTTAGAGATGGGGCCACAGAAGGTCAGATTAACTTGTCTAAAATTTCAGAGCAAGTAGCAAATTGGATTCTAAATTGGAACCCATCAAACAAAATAAATAAATTGGAACCTGTCATATTCATTGCCTCAGTCTTTCCCGGACTTGTTCAACAATCACTTAGCGGGCCCAACCCACACCCATTAGGTCAGAATCTCAGAGCCAGGAATCAAGCCCAAAGGGGCAAATATACCCCAGACCACCAGGGGTAGGCAGGATTTTGACAAAGCCAGGGCCCCAGTTAGCTCTGGTCCTCTTGACAGAGGCATCCTCAGCCAGAGGTCCCCTTTTATGCTCTAGGTGGCCTATCAACAGTCTTCTGCCAACCGTGCAAGACAGGGAAATTCCATCACCTTCTCTCTGAAGCTTTCTGCAAAGCCACAAACCTTGGCCACCACCTAGTGGCCAAGTATACACAGGCAGGCAAACCGTTCCAGAAACGTGAACAAGCCAGGATGCCCTTCTCCCTGCCCCACCAAAAAGGCTTCCAGGTCCTTGAGAGTCCCTAATCCCAGGAAGGTAACTGCTTTTACCCTCAGATTCTCCTCATTTTTCTGATGCGAACTGGGGCCTAAGATCCTAGGGTGGTTCCCTATTAGCTCTTGAATACGGGGTTCCTTCTCCCTTGCGCCGTGGCCACTGTCAGCCAGGTCGCTGAGCCCGCCTTTGAGGGAGAACTTTTCCAGAGCTCAGTCTACCTTCCCCCAGTCAGCACCATCCTCTGGTCTCTTAGCTCCCTCTCAGCCCCTGGAGATGCAGATCCCAGCACGGGTTCTACCCATGCTGATGGCCGCCACCTGTATAAAACCTCATGCCCATCCTCCCACCTAGACCACCTCTGAAGTCAACATCAACTCCCTATCTCCAAAAGTGTCCATTAGCCTATGACCTACAAAGTCACTGGTGGTGGGGGCAGAACCGTTTATCAGAGTCTGTTCTCCTTTACCCCCAGCTCCCTTCAACCCAGGGCCATCACCAGAAACGTCGGGACATCTCACTGGCAGCTTTGATTCCCGCTCCTCCTGCTATCTACCATCTGTACAAAGCACTTCTGTCCTCAGAACAGAACTGCTGGGTGAGGCGAGGGAGCATCAGCATACTTGTCAGTGAAGGCACACCCCCAGCCTCTGAGCCTCTGCTTCAGTGGTTTGCAAACCTAGCTGCTTATTAGAGTCACCTGGGAGCTTAAATGGCTTCTGATGCATTTAAGTAAAACAAGATAGACTAGTGGATGGATGATATAGTAAAATATTAATGGCAGACCCTAGATGGTAAGAACATAGATGTTTGCTATTAAGTTCTTTCAGCTTAGTGTTTGAAGATTTTCATAAGCTGTTGGGAAAAGGCACTGCTAGGCCCCACCCCAATTAAGTGAAAATATATGAGATTATACACAAGAATTTGTGTATAATCAAACACAAGCAGTGTTTGATGAGCTTTTCAGGTGATTAGCATACAGCCAGAGTCAAGAACCCCTGCTTTAATCACTTCTCTCCCCTGACCAGCTATTCCAAACTTGACACGCCTGGATCCTATTCTCGGGAAATTTGTTTAAAAGTTACATGATTTTTACTTGAAGGAATCTACCAGCACTTTCTAGCTAGAAGCCTGTCCTACCTGTGCTTCCTGCCCCACCTGTCCATACCTCAGGCATCAGAAGCAGTCCACATCTTAGCTCCCACCCCTACATCCCCTTAGTTTCCTGTGGGCTTTTTAGCTTCCTCATTCTGAAGAGGTGGCCCCCAGAGCAGGAGTAACAGCTGCGGGAGACTTGTTAGGAATGCAGACTCTAGGCCCCAATCCAGACCTACTGGACCAGACTCTGGAGGTAGGGCCTGGCAATGGAGTTCAACAAGCTCTCCAGGTGATGCCGATGCATTCAGGTTTCAAAAAGCCACTCATCAGGTTCAGGACGCTACCCCTGTGTGAGAAGTTCGTGCCGCTTTCCCTGCCCTTCTTCAAAGCCTCTGGAGAGGCCAATGCTTGCTTTTGTCAACTCCTTCACTCAACCCATCGTCATCTGGGTTTTGGCCCTGCTGACCTTAACAAGACAAAAGATCACTGCCCTGGTCACCAAATGCCATGGTTGTTGGCTCTTGTCTTATTAGAACTGTCAGCTAAGTCACCTGGGTTCCTATTCTCCTCGTTTGTTCTATTTCTAGGACCACTGATTCTGATTCTTTCTCTATCCTCCATGGGTTTTCTACCTAACTAAGGGGTTGTGTCACCATGCCTTCTCCTGACAGATCCCTCTGTAGCCCATGGCTTTGTCTGCTTGGCAAGTTGTGGAGTTACTAGAATGGGGGCAGAGCTATCAAGTTACTGCTTGAGAGCACAGCTAGTGAGCTAAAGCAGCAGAGTAAACCCGCTCAGCCTGACCCCTAAAGTTCAGGGTATTGAAAGGCATTACCGTGTTTCTGGAGTCATTAGCAAACTGGAACATGTCCACTGTGAACTGGAGAGTCTCTGGCCCCGGTCTGGGTGCTTTGAAAGCAGACGAAGCCTCGAAGAGGCCATCCACGAGACAGCTTTGAAGAGAATGAATGAAGAATGAGGTTTCAGGCTGAGGAAGGTGGCACAGGCCATGCTGTGATGAAGGTTCCCCCGAAAGGGAGCCGAGCCCTCACCCATGGAAGTCCACGATGGTGTGGGAAGGGGAAGCACTCCGATTCAGCGTTGGTGTAGCCACACAGTGGTCCACGAACAGTAGCAGGGGCACGTGGCTGCCCGTGTGAACTTCGGCCTGGAGGTGGGCTGTATCTCCCAGCTGGAAGGTTGGGGACCTCTTCTGAGAGGTCCAGTCCTCTGAAGGGCATACAGGTAGATGTGAGAGACCCTCCCTGGCAAAGCGCTCCCCACCAGCTCCCCCCGCCAGCTCCCCCTGCCAGCCGTCTTTGCTTACCCTCCATCAGGTACAGAAAGAAAGCAAGTTTCTCCTCCGAAAACACTGTGGTCCTGAAGGGCACCCAGGTGGGCAGGATGGCTTGGCTGCTCACGTTGCCTTGCCTGGGAAGAGAAGGGGAGCCACCCACACCTGCTGTGGGACTCACCCCACCTGGCCCCACATTGAGGGGGGCTTCACTTCTACCTCATTGTGAAGCCTTCAGCTGTGACCCAGCCAGGCAGCCAGTCAAAGCAGCTGAACAGACACAGGAAGTCTGAGCCTGTCCCTTAACCTCCTGTATTGGGCGCCTGGGAGTGGGCCCTCCAGCCGTGAGGGCACCTGAGCTGCAGCATGAAGATATATCCCAGGTTGTTTTGCTCTCTAGACCCACATCTGCCACTTGTTAAGGTTCACCCTGGAAGCTCAGGCTCGGGGTCTGAGGCAGAAGTCCCTTCCTGTACCACTCAGGGTTCTTGGGGCCAGTCCTAGTGAAGGAGTCCTTCAGAGATACATGCAGTCAAGTCTCCGGTTCTTGAGAAGCTGGCAAGATACTCTAGACCTGTACTGGGACAGGAGGCCCCTGGAAGCAGATGTTTTCAGACAGCTGCCCTGCTGACCCCATGGGGGTCTCACAAAAGTAGCCTTGGGAGGCTACTCTAAGAACCAGACCCCAGCTACTGGAGCTAGGATAAAGTATCTCAGGCCACCCACACCGTCTGCAGCCACCAGGTCCGGTGAGCCAACATTCTTAGGTCACTCCCAGGTGGAGCAGTTTTGACACAAGAGACAGCTATGATCCCAGGAAGGCTTCATTCACTCTGGCCAATAGGGTGGGCTCAGCATCCTGCCCTTCGTGTCCCCGTCCCCGCCCCTGTCCCCGCCCCCAGCACTGTCAGGCACCAAGCTCCTCCAGCTCTCTTTAGACACCTCAAGTCAGCTGCCATGGGTCAGGTCTTAATCTCATCCCAGTCTCCCAGCTGGTCCCACCAAGCCCCATCTGTCTCCCCCACCAGCTACCAGAGGACCTTCCAGATTGAAAGTCAGTTCTAAGCACCATGCTGCTTGGTGCTTAGGGAGGGGTGCCTGCTACGTTGTTAGCCTGAACACCTTCACTACATCTCTTGGCCTTTATAACCCATCTGTCCTCCTCCCTTTATTAAGCTGTAGACCCCAGGACCCCAGCTGCAGCCCCTGTTAGTGACACACTGCCTTCCCCTGTGGTTTGTGTGTGTGGCTCTACCTAGACTGGCTCAGCCCCAGCTGTCCCGAGGCCCCCATCCAGGAACTTGTTCTGGAAACCCCTCCCTCCGCTCCTCTCCAGACACACGGCTCATCCCTGTGCCCTCATGGTATCAGCCCCATCCTCCCCTACCTTCTCCCAGTGGGGAGAGCAGGGATTAAAGCCTAGTACTCTGCACTCAGCCTCATATTGTGTTAGAAGCTGCAGTCACCCTCTCCTCACACCTCAATGCCCAAGTTCACAGGCAGTGCTTAGCATGCAGGGCTGGAGGGGCTTCCCCCAACCCACACACCTGTACTGGGTTAAACCATGTGGAAACAGCAGGTCATGTTGGTCAGAGCTTGGAACCTCTCCCTACACTACTGAAAAAGTGTTGTGAACCCCAAGGGGGCCTGGGCTGGGCAGCCCTGCCCTTTTCACCAAGAGGCAGCTGTGGCCCAGATGCATTTCAGAGGCTTGGCGGACTCAGCAGGCCCCCGACTCCACCCAGGGCTAAGGGAAGCCATGCCACCAGGTGCGGCCAGGAGGCTGACGTGACTGCTGAGCGGCCTCAGCACCAGGGGCAGAGGGCAGAGACTGGCTTCTCCCACACCGACCTGGGAAAGTGGCACTCGATGGGCACTTTCATGCGGTTAGTCCTCAGGATGGACAGGTTCCCAACAGGGCGAGGGTTGTGGAGCAGGAAGGTGCTGTACACCAGGGAATCCTTGGACACCTGAAGGAAAGAGGAGGGTCAACCCCACCAGCTTCACCTGCCAGAAGTGGGCCCAACCTATACAAGGGAGTGGGGAGGGCAGCCAGCAGGAGGTGGAGAGGACACAGGCCCTGGATTGGAAGCCTGCTCTGCTGCTGACCCATGGGAGAACCTGGACAGTTCCACCCTCACACCCCAGGGTTTTTGCCCCTGTGGTGTTGATGGCATTGCAGGGGTCTGGCTCAGCTCCCTGTCAGGCACCAAGCAGGTACCAGAGGCTTGGGCATGTGCTCCCCTGCTCAGGCTGCCACCCCCCTTTCCCAGTATACACCCAGTTTCCTTTTTCAGGGGAGGCCTGGGGCCCAAAGAAGCCACAAAGTCCCAGAAACTTGAATTCATGGCCACAGCAGTTAACACTTATGGTGCTCTCCCACTTCTGACTTGTTCCCAAGCCCATTTCACAGAAAGCCAAATTGGTTCAGTGGTTGCCGGAGGCAGAAGAGCTCAGGCAGGTGCTACTGGGGCAACTTGCATCCCCCAATCAACTTGTTTGGAAATCACCTGGCACCCAAATGGCTGCCTGGCCCACCCTAACCCCTCAGTCTTCGAGGCAAATCCTAGTTTTCTCATAATCAGTGTCCCAGACCAACTAGCTGCATAACTTGTAGGGCTCACTGCAAAAGGAAAATGTTCAGAAGAATTCCAGGACAGCAGGACATTAAACCCAGCGTGGTCCTGTGGGACTGCACAGGTGTCATCCCCAAGAAGCCCTGGCCCCCGGTGATGCTTATCAGGCAAGACTGGGAAACCAATCACAGAAAACACTGCACTTGTCAGGCTAGTCAGAGTCTTCTGGGATCTTAAAGATACTGATGACTGGCTTCCACTCCGTTCTGATTTAGTGTAGGATATGGGAATGGAAGTGTTTAAAGCTCCAGCTTAGTCTCAACAGCTGAGTCTAATGCACAGGGTTTCAGAGTTACTAAGCTAGAAAAATTCCTTAACTACTGTGCCCTTCTGGCCTTCCAGCCCTCTCCCCAGACATACAAAGGGCCAGGAATCCTCAAGGCAAACCCTGGGAACCCCACCTAAAACCAGAGCTCCCAGCGGAGGGTTCCAGATTTGAGCCTAGAGCTGGGCGGGGAGAAGTGGGGGCCCCATGATGGAGGGGAACACAGGTTCTCCATGAAGCAGCAGGAAGTTGGTCCAGGGGATTGTGTACTAGCTAGGGATCTGTGCCCAGGCCAGCCATGCCTTTCTGGAAGGCCCCTCCTAGCCTGAGTATAGCAGTTTTGTTATAATGTTGATGAGTTGCTTTATTTAAATCAATTAGCCTATGGTAAAATTGGTCTCATTGTACATCATTTCGCTGGAGGTCACAAGACCTATTCATGATGTTGAGGACTTACTGTATCTGCCCCCCCCCGCCCCCACCACACACACTTGAGGGAAGCTGTCTGGCGTAGACTGCTCCGCTCTCCCCCCAGGCACACCTGCCGCATTAAGCCCCCTCTCCCCAGCCTAGCCCAAAATGCACTGCCCCTCTGAACTCCATCCCCCAGCTACCTAGTTTTGGCAACTAGAGGCAGGAGCTCCTCCCAGCCCATCCCCACAGCACTAATGCCCAGCTTCAGGCCTCAGGCCCTCCCCCCTCCCCCTCCCCCTCCCCCCTCCTCCTCCCCCACCCCACAAGGGAAAGGAGCTGCCTAGTCCCACACCTCGCCTCCACACTCCCCATCGCAGGCCGCCTCTCTGTCCTCCCACCAAAGCCAGGGCCGCCAAGGAAGCCCAAACCTCACCTGCAGGTTGTTGCCACACTCATGTAACCCAACTTCAAACCTGACCACATCATCGGTGTCCAGAGAGACCAGGGGCTTACAGCCCTCAGGGCCCAGGGTGAGGTCTGCAGGCTTGATGAGCTTCCCAGTGCCAAAAAGGTCTTTGCTGACAGTGACCACAAGCTGAGCCTCCAGACACTTCACCACAAGGCGGGAGACCCTATCCTGCCAGAGGGGCTGGGGGTAGCACAGCTCCAAGCTTCCCCAGAGCAGAAAGCAGATGAAGAGCCCACAACTCGGCGCCATGATGTCCACAAACACTCCTACTGGTAACTGCCGAGCAGCCACCACCTGCGGTCTTATACCCTGGATGGTGGCCACTCACACCTGGGCTCCCACCTGCCCCCTTCCCCAGCCAATCCAGTTCACAAGGCCTTCGCTGCTCAAATTGGCCTCCCCGTGCAGCAGCGTGGGTGCCATCTGGAGCTCATTAGAAATGCAAGTTCTCAGCTCCCCCAGCGCCCCCCCCAGTCAGAACCTGTTTTTTTGCTATCTCCCCAAGTGATTCATGTTTACATTAAAGTTTGAGAAGGGCAGGCTGGCAGCCTAGCCAGCCATATTTCTCATCCCTATCTACTCCCACCCCGTGTGTCCACCCTTTGCTGGCCCTACCATGGTAGCCCATCAGGGGAGCTCAGAGCTGCTCCAACTCAATGGGGGAGGCCAAGAGAAAGCCTTGGTTGAAGGGTGGGGAGAATTTAATCAAAGAAGGCAGGGAGCTCATTCCAAGTGAGAACAGGAGGAGGTATCCTTAGGGGCCAGGAATTTTAGGAGCTGCTGCCCAACTCTATGGAAGGTAGGAGGGGAGGTCAGTTTAGGTAGAGGCAGCTGTGTCAACAGAGGTGTAGAAAGGGCAGTGGATGGGCTTGGGGGGAAAACCCAGGAGCACAGAGTTGCCTGATTCTCTGATGCAGGTGGGTGGGAGGGATGAGTGGCAGTTTAGCTGGTTGGGGAGGAGCATGCAAGGGCCCCCTGAGAGGCTGGATTTTGCTCTGTGGTTGAGAAACACCACAATAGGGGGCTGAAGCAAGTGAGTGATCTGGCTGTCTCTGCCTGGAAGTCAGAGTCAGGAGGGCAGTCAAGAGTCAGGAGACCACTCCACCAGTCCTGGTGGGAGAGAGTGGAGAAGGACTGGCAGGATTAGCACTTGCTGATGGTCTACTCCAGGCCTGTGTGAAACTCCTTCAGGAGGGAAGGGGAAATGCGAGAAGTAATGGCACTTAATTCCTAGGGGTAGAAGTATGCACTCACTTGTAAATCCATGTTTCTAAAGTAATTGAACCATAAATTTAAGTTGCTAAAATATCCCATTGATGGTTTTATTGTTGTGTGTTTTTTAATACTCTAAAAAGTTTACTTGTGGGAAAATAAATAAATGGAGGGAAGAGATTATTGCCCCCCCCCCAACTTCCTCTGACCTGATCAACATGGGGGGTGGGGTAGAGACAGCCAACAGAGAGAAGCAGGTAGGAACTCAGAGCTCAGGCTCCAAGCTCACCTGGGTACAAATCCTCCTCTCTGGGTTCCCTGACTTCCAGGCCCAGAAAGAAGGAGTCATCTGTGGCCCTGAGGGACAGTTAGCTGAGAGACTGTGTCTTAGGAGTGGGGATGCACTGGGGGAGGGGCCTGTCCATGCTTGTTACCCACAGCTGTGTTTCTGGTTTGTGATGGCAGTAGTGGGGTGGGCTGGCCATGAGAGATCCGCACCTCCCTGAAGCCTCATATCTATCCCCTCTTGCCCTCTGCTTCAGAGTTCACCTCCCTTAGGAGACTTCAGAAAAAAAGATATGAAGAAATCAGTGAGGGTGGGGTGAGGCATGTACTGGTGGGGAGAGTCTGGCTGAGGACAGAGGTGTTACTAGAGTGGTGGTAAGATGTGGTGGTGGGGCTTGTGTTCCCATTTTTTGGAAAGAGGAGTAAAGACACCTCTATCAGGAAGCTTGGCCAGCACAGCCCAACCCAGATTCTGGGTCTTTTGCGTTTTTCTGAGAAGTGCTGCTGTCTGGTGGCCGGAATGCACCAAAGGCATGGTCACCAGCCCAGAGCGTTTTCCCTAAAACTCTTTATTGTCCAGATGTGGGTTTTTAAATCCTATTCCTCTGTAAAAGCAGGACCCAGGCTCCTTGGAAAATTGTCTGATTCTAGGAGAGGACCAGAAAAATACATGGAGATTCTGAAACATCTTGTTACACTTAAAAAAAAAAATGCTAACCCTGGCTGGCGTAGCTCAGTGGATTGAGCGTGTGCTGGGAACCAAAGTGTCCCAGATTCAATTCCCAGCCAGGGTACATTCCTGGGTTACAGGCCATAACCCTCAGCAACCGCACATTGATGTTTCTCTCTCTCTCTCTCTCCCTCCCTCCCTCTCTCTCTCTCTCTATCTCTCTCCCTCCATTCCCTCCCTAAAAATAAATAAATAAAATCTTTAAAAAAATGCTCACAAAATGATGAGGCATGTCAAAAGAACACAGGAACCAAATTGAATGGGGTGTGTGTCGGTGTGTGTGTATTGGACAGATCCCACGGGATGAATTGGAGACAACTGTGTATCAAAAAGAATAGGACAATACAACTACACATCGGATAAAATAAGAATCCATGAGCATCTATGCTGGTGACAAATGTCTACATAAAAACACATAAGTGGGAAAACTTTTTCCCTGAAAGGGAATCTTCCTTACAGTAGAATGCCAGCTAATAACCATTTGCAACCATCATAGAAGTAATAGGTTCAGGCAAGAATTATCAGTGCATGTTAAAAACTAGTTGACAGTATGATGGAGATGTTAGCTAAATCTGTGGTGGTGATCATTTTGCAATATATAAAAGTATCAAATCAATGAGCTATACATCTTAAACTTAATAATATTATGTGTCCTCACATCCTGATAAAGCTGAGGGGAAGTTCTGAGATGGATAATTATTGGGAACCACCCTGCCTGGTTCCAGAGGCTGTAACCCACACCCATCCCCCCATGGCTAAGGCTGAGTAAGGAGACCTTGGGACCATAAGCCACTAAGGAGACAAAGCTTATTTTTCTAGCAGGGGTGCTGCCTCTGTCCCCTTTTACTTCACCCTGCTTGGCCCCAGGGCAGATGATTGGTTAGCCAAAGACAGGCAAGATTCCTCAAGGGAGGGATGACCTAAAACAGACACGATCACGAAGGGGCCTTCAGGGAAGGACTTGGGGGACTATAGAAAAAGGGGGTAATCGACCCTCGCCCCTTGGCTTTGACATAGCCTGAGTCCTCATTCTGTCTGCAAGAAGTCTCCTAATCTCTTGGCTGCCTTGCTTCCCTGCCTGATTTAAGCCTGAAACAATGCCGGAGGGTGGTGCAGCCCTGTGCTGGAAAGGGCGGGTTCCCCAGGGCAATCAGGCCTAAGAAAGAATGCACAAAATCCTGTGAAACCTGCTTTGCTAAGAATGTCCTCAATTTTCTGATATGGGTCCAAGCATGAAATGAGTTTGTTTCCCAAAGTTTTATGGCCCTTTAGCTAACTGGCTCTGACTCAGAATAAGCCCTCATAGTTCTTTGTATGTGATCTATTGTTTGATCATTACTTCCTGGCAATGATGAATGAGGACTTTCCTTGGTGTAATGCTCCCAGAAAGCAATAAAAGCCTGTCCAGGCAAGGGTTGGGGCCCTCTCTCACTCAGAGAGTGGCCATGCTGTCCCTTTTCTCCACCAGACTTCTGCAGTCCATGTGAATTTGTTCGTCGCATCCACCACAGGACCACGGATATCGCTTGCTGGAGTCCATATCAGATAATGGTGATGGTTGCATGGCTATGTGAATGTACTGAATGCCACTGAATTGTACACTTAAAATAGTTAAGATGATAAATTTAATGGTATATATGCTTCACCACAATAAAAACAATAAAACCAGTTGATGGAAATTTGAATGGAAGTCTCAAAAAATTTCTCCCTAAAGATTTTTTATAAATTACAAAGGATTAAGTGGTTACTTTAGAGTGGATAAATCTGACAGACAACACTTTAGCCATATTGTCAAAGTTAACTAACCGTTAGTGGAATAAACACTATCCCAATAGTGAGATAAACTGACATCAGGTGCCTCCTGATGTGATGGAACGATGCCCAGTGTTTAGGGAAAAAAACATGTTTATAAATGCACATAGATGTATATGTACACATACATACATATGCATGCATGTGTGTACATGTATAGACACACATACAAGGATGCATATAAATATAGACACACATACGTATACACATAAGTGTCAAGAGATGCAGAGAAGGAGAGCACATATGTAGCAAAATGTTCACATTTGCTGAATCTGGGTAAAGGATAAACAGAATTTCAAAATTAAAAATAAACCCTCTTTAAGTCAGATTCAAGTGAAAGAGAAGACAATGGGATCCATTTTCAGAAGGGTATTACCCAGGTTTCAAAAGCAACTACTAAAACAAAATATGAGGTTACTAGGCATAAAACAAGCAAACGAACAATCTGTCAGATCTTTGAGGAAAATCTTATGAAAATTCATTGAAAATCAACAAAGAATACCTGAATGCACAGAATCCATATGCATAAAGACATCAATTCTCTCGAAATCAATCTATAATTTCTATCAAAATTTCAACAGGAGCATCTGTGTGTATGTGTATGGAACTTGAGAAACTGACTCTAAAATTTATATGGAAAGGCTAAGAGCCAAAGAAGCTAAGACTTTTGAAAAAATAGAACTGGGAACATTTGAGATCTTGCTCCTTGGCATATGGAGTCTCTTTAGATCAAATAAACTCTTACAAAAAGTTTCTACAGGGTTGAGCATTTCTTGCATTGACATTTACTGGGCATAACTGGCAAAATTCTGAAGAAGCACACCCAGGACAGCACTGCAGGCCCGGCCCCAGTGCAAGGTATAAGCAAGGGCCCGTGGGGCCCCGCCAGCTCCCCATGTCATGTCAGGTGAGTGTGGCTGGCCCCAAGGAAACCAAGACTTTAAACACCATTCAACTGCCACCTGGTGATTTTGTGTATTGGAAATGACATGAAATAAAAGACACTCTCCAACCTCATCAGAAGGGATCTTATCAGGCACTAAACTGCGAATAGATACCTACTCTGTCTGCAAAAATCAAAAACTCCTTTAGGATGAAAAACTGCTGTAATCAGAGGCAGACAGCTAACCCAAGACATTGACAAGGCCTGTAAATCTGTAGATTGATGCTGAATTCAGAATCCATTTTGTCTTTACCTGCCTGCTAATTA